AGGGAACATCTAATCAAGGACACTATTTTTATCCTTGAGGGTGTTTCTTGTATAATGGTCTTCCCTGTATGATGAATAATTATATGTTAGGACATTGGCAAATTAAAGAACAAGGAATCTTCATCTGCATGAAATTATTAAGTTATTATTTTGATCAATTTGCATCAGTCCATGATATCTCTTCTAATGTACTAAACCAGTGGATAGCGCTGAAGGCGCACTCTGATTGGCTACACAAATGCTGAATATCCTTTGGTATTCAACGCCGAGCAACATGCAGAGGATTTACACCTGAAAATGTTGTAATCATTGCAAGAATGAATGAGTTAAAAGCATCTTTCTGTGCTATGTTATCTCACTGTTTTAGCAAATACTAAAACAACTACTCACCTCGCAATGAGGTGATATCTACAGCTAGCCACCTACACTGAGGTGAATACCGTTGACTTCATTTTCAAAGCGAGTTTTGGTGCTCATCCTTTATATGATTATGAGTATTCACATGCAAATTAAACTCATTTTCATTTGAATGGTTGAGCATCAGGCCTCGTTTCAAAAAGAGGTAAAAGGTAATTCGAAAATGGCCTGATGGTATCACAGTAGGGTGCTCAACTCGTCAAAGTGCGATTTACCCAGTAGGGAAATACTATTTGGTTGTATATGAATGCACAATTATGCGATTATTCCATTTTTTAGTGTAGATGTGGAGCCCATGACGCAAGGAGGTCTTGCATTTGCAGATCAGTCTGGAGCTCCTCTTCCTTCTGTGCAGAATTCAACCAACCATGAGCAGACCTCTTCAAAGCCTCCTGGCTCCACCCTGGCAAGTGATTCACAGTCCATGTACCGAAAATCAGCTTTCCAACCAGTCACACCGGATGTGAACAGGTCTTGTAGCTTCAACAGCTCCAATCTGGCTGGTCCTTCGCCAACTGTTTTCACTAAACAAGCGTTAATGGTTGTTGGAGATATGTTCTGCGGCCCGCTTGATTCAGAACGTGACTTAACCTTGGGGCCGCGCCAGGAGATGGATAAGACAGAGAAGGACTTTGAAGCAGCATTCACTGGTGATGATACAACCACTGTAGGATTTTCAAAAGGTCTTGCAGGAATGGGTAGGCAAAGACTTTCACAGACCACACACAAATCCAGGGGCCCGTTTCTGTTAAGCCGCAGAAACTTTTCAGGACCGATTTGATATTTCTAGATCTAATACTGCGGCATACTAATGCAAGTCTTCACTCAAAGACCAATCCATCCTGTGTCTTTTCCTGATATCTTTATTTCTTTGAATCTCAAGTCTGTAAAAGTCTCGATCTTGAGTGAAATGTAGAAATATAACGAAAAAACCTTTTTGAGCCTGTTAAGAAACCGGGTCTTTAGAGAAACAGGCCCCAGCAAAGTGTTAAAGTTGGGAAAGGGTAGTGCTAGGTCCAGGGTACACTTTGCCCTCTTTATCAAGAAAACTGATCATATGATTTATGACAATTGCTGATAGAATCACATTGTAGTCCCCGAGTGACTCTGCGAGGCTAGTGTACAGGCAGGTCCTTGTTGCTGCTCGTAGTCTAAAGCAACTATGGGATACAAGATTTCCTTTTTTGCTTTTTCTGGAAAAAGCCAAATAATGATCTCTCGAAGAGATAAAAGCTCTTGGCCTCTCCATGATCAATTATTGCCATACGGAGCATTTTGGCCGCAACAGAAGACCCATATGTTGTTCACAGTGGTCATTACTAAACTCTTCAGAGAACTAACGTACCTCTTGCAAATTATGAAACAAAAACCTTTCAAAGAACCAAAAAGTTGCACTGACAAGTTTCTCTTTTTTAACTGTTTTGAAAAAGGAGGATTTGGAAGTTCTGCTGGTTTCGTGATTTATGATGAGACTGTGGCTGACAAAAGGAATGGAGACACAGATGACAAAGAAAAGGAATTTGAAGACAAGGAAAATATGTACGTGTTGAATATGGTGTTTCCCGAGATTTATACACTCCCTATTTCCGCCCTGCACTTCTGTCAGTACTTATCTTAATAATGGCTATTGTATTTCATAAAAGCTTTTAAATGTTGGAATTACTCTGTATCCGTTGAATCACTTTTAAAATGAGTTGATACACAATAACTGTGTTTGGAGGGTCCAGCTGGAAGTGGAGTGTTTGACCAAAGTGTCATCTTTTCTTTTTTTCGTTATTGCATGTTTTGCTAATTCACATCAAATATGATTTGTCTCTGACAACTACTTTTGTTCTGTTTGCTGGACAGGCCACCGAAAGGCAACCGGCAAGAAGCATGTCGTCGACCCTTAGCTGGTATTCTTCAGCCATCCCTGGGTATTCCAACCTGCTCAGAGGAGGATGATGACGAGGAAGAAGCTGAAATGAATGAAAAATTTGAGAGTACAAATCTCAAGAATTACCAACCGTTGCAACAGCTGGACAAAACTAGCGAAGTTTTCTTGGCCGATTTCACTCATGACCAGACCCTTGCATCTTCAAGCTTCGCAACTGCGGCACACATGGCCTCGACTCCATTCTGTTACACAAATGGCCCGATGTCACTTCCCAGCCTTCCTTGCAGCACAATTCGCCCAGCTAATGAAATTCCAGAATTGAGTGACTTGCCTTCTGACGGAGGTCAATACCGTTCCTTACATCCGAACACTGTCCAAGCAAGCAACAGCTTTATTTCCACGCCCAGCAAAGTTTTGAGCCCAATATTTGAAGCCAGCCAGGAGGATACCAAATCAACAAACTCAAGCCATTCGTCCAACGGTTCATCCAGGCGATTTTCGTGTTCAGTTGGTGCACAGCAGCACAATGGGTTGGAACTAAGTAAGATACAAGAGGAAACAAGCCTCTGCCACGGTGATGGTGAACAACAGGCTGTCAATGTTGGTAATGTTGCGATAAACCCTTTCGCTGGTGCTGTTGTTGACAATTTACTCCGCCGGATTAATCCTTCTTTATCAAGCTATGAAGGATTCACTGTGTCAAGCAAAGAAGTGCCAAGAATTGTATCAAATGCATCCGTGAATTTAGGTGAGTTGTGAATCTCTTTGCCGGGAGAAATGCCTAAAATAAGCCCCCCTTAAGTTTTGAATTAAACCCAAAAAATGTCTGATTGTGGCATTAAAACTGTAGTGAACGATACTACCCAAATAAAGGTCCTTTTTAAAGAAACACCAAAAAGTGTTGTTTCATTTTGTGAATTAGAGACTGAAGCTTGAAATTCTTTGTTCAAATTGGAGAAACCTCTCAGTAAGTCCTAATTTTGCAATAGGGCAATTTTCAATTGAGCGTCGAATGTCATCCGGGATTGCAGTGGTTTTGCTTCATTTGGTACTTTGATTGGTTTAGAAAACTTGCACATGTTTTTCAACCAATCAGATGAAAAACTAAAACCAATGCGACTTGGTTACTCGCGTTTTTTTCGCGCTTCATGCAGTTTTCTTGTTTTTACCTCGAGTTCCCATTGACTGCTTGGTTTTGGTTTCTACGACGCTCAATCGAAAGGCGCTCTATTTACGAACCAGATTTGAACATCATAATTTACTTCTCTTGTTTATGTTTGTAGGTGGCAATGAAATATTCAATGTTGAAAAGTCGATCGGTTCTGGGGCTTTCGCCAAAGTTTTCTTGGCGAAAAAATTCGGTGACAATGATGATAACGATTTCGAAACTGACGACGAAAGTTCCGTGGTGTTGAAGGTAGGGTGCCTTTTTCAGGTTGATCAGAATGTCAGTTCTGATAAATTTTTTTTGTGATTCCTTTGTCCTTTTGAGGGTGTCTTGTGCCCGTTGCGTGTATCTACGCGCTTATTTTAAGCCAACACCCATGTTATGTGACCTAAACCGAAATACAACGAACAATTCTGGGCGAAGGAAAATTCCAAGGAACCAATGAGAACCCACTAGAGATCAGAAGCAAACGACCTGAAGGGCGGGAAAACGAGAATGATGGATTCTAGTATTGTACATGATTGGTTGAGAAGGGTGGGCGCGAGTTTTCAAGACCAATCAAAGAGCCTCTGTTGTTTGTCTATTGCGCATGACATTCTGTCCGGCGTCTGTTACATGTTTATCCACACTTAACATTGCACCTAACGCTCATTCGCATGAATTTAGATCAGATTCCGTTAGTATTTTTCCCTCTAAAACCCCTCATAAACCTGAGGCATTTTTCCACCTTTGGTTTTAGGTTTAGATCCCCTTTTTTTGTTTAGTTCATGGAACCACCCATGGTTATTTGTGTTAATATATCCTACAGGTACAGGAAATATCGATTGAATGGGAATTTTACGTAAGTAAACAGCTTCAAAAGAGAATGAGGGAGTGTGGATGCTCTAAAGAGCTGGTAAGTTTATGGCTCTTCAATTTTAAGAATTCCCTCCTAAACTTAGCCTTAAACTATATTGAGAACGTAAAGTACAAGCAGTTGACGCCTTGAGTGTTGGTCAAGTGACCTTCGTTAGGAAAAAAAAAATGGAAATTTTAGATTAGAGTTAAAGTTGGTGCTAAAGTGATTTCTCTAGTACCGGCGGAAAGCCTAATTGGGGAGATAAAACGATTCATTTTGATCGAGAACATTTTTGTCTTATCTGAAGTCAATCGCGAAGCTAAATCTGACTGCTAGCCAAGGTTAGAGCTATTAAGTACAGTGTTGAGGACAAGGCAATAACTGTTGCCGAGGATGAGAAAACCTTTTTGTAAGGTAATCACTGTGCGAAAGGTTTTTCCAAATCTCTTAAGTTCTTTTTAACTCAGTCATTTGAGCTCAAACGCAGTGAAAACTTTTCCTCCTATGCCGTCCTTAAGCTGCCAAGCCCTTAACCCAAAACCAGTCCCAGTCTCTCATACAGCCTCGCGAAGACTCCTCGACAATAACATCGCTTGTGCACTTGTTTTTCCTTCAGCAGGCGATGTTCATGGACCCAATAGCGGCATTTGTGTATTCTAATTCATCAGTGTTGGTGGATAAATACAACCCACTTGGTACCATTCTGGTAAGTCTTTTTCCGAAGTAAAATCGGACTATCGTATGACCCGTACGGCCCTCCGCGCGCAATCCCATAGAAAACCGTTGCGAAAGACGAAGGGCCGATCACAGAAGTCCAATTAAGGCTTTGTCTTCAGTATTGAGTTTTTTTCGGGTCCAATCCCTAATATTTCTGCGAGGTTGAAAACCGTCTTGAAACTTTCCTTCGTCCAGCTTAACTCCTAACTCTGAACTCCTAAAAGTGATCAGCATGCAAAATCTCCTAACAGTGTCACCCTTGAATCAAACATTAAGGTCGCGAGAATAAAGGAAATGATCACCCAACTTGTTAGAAGCTCTTAGTTGTTAACAAATTGGCAATATCAGTACCTGAGGAAATGCATAGGAATCATATAAACAGTATGATTGATAAATTGACGAGTTTTGTTCTTTTTTCCTCAGGATATGGTAAACAAATACAAAATGGAGAAGAAGACCATGGAGGAAGGCGTCCTGTTTTATTACACCATTGCTCTTTTGCGAATTATAGAAACCTTGCATTCTTGTGGCATCATTCACGGAGACATAAAACCAGACAATTTCCTTGTGTTGGATAGGTAATCAAATTAGTTTAGTTTGTTTGTCTGTTCGACTGACTCAGCCAAATAGCTCATTACAGGGCTATGCATATGTCATAAAAAGAAAAAAAAACCTCACAGGATTTTAACACACCATCTTCATTTCTCTCCATTTTTTATTTTTCTTAGTGAAGATACATTGGACTGCGCATGCCTAAAATTGATCGACTTCGGACGTAGTGTGGACATGACCCTTTTTCCAGCCGGAACAACTTTCACTACCAACTGTTACACAGAAGATTTTCAGTGCATAGAAATGAAAGAGGGTAGACCTTGGACCACTCAGGTAACGAAAGCTTCGTGTAAGGATTCATACTACCTTCCAAAAAAGATCCCTTCAAGTTACCGTAGCTAGAAAAACTACAATGTCAAAACGAGCTTAGCTTTGCTCGAGCTAGAGCAGTTTTCAGTGGAGTTGAAAAACCTAAACCGAAAACCAATCAAAGCCAAAGTGGACATCATTAGCCAATGAGAACTCAGAGTGAAAACAGGCAGACTGCTTAAAGCGCGGGAAAGCGCGAGTGACCAAATTTTAGTTTTGAATCTGATTGATTGAGTGGGTGGCGCGAGTTTCTGAACCAGTCACAGTGAAGTTAAGCAAGTCTAAAGCAATCATGGATTACTTTCAACACTCTAATAAGAGGCTCTACAAAAGCTATTAAGAGTATAGTCACATTTTCACAATTGAATTTCACGAAGTCTTCACTCCTAGATAACAGCAATGTGCGTCTTCAACTTAAGAGGCTCTTTCCTGAATAAAGGAAAAACGTTTTGTTGAGTAAAACTGCGCCGCGCAGCCTTCAGTACCATTTATCAGTATATGGTGTCTTAACCTGTAAATTTTTTTTTCCAGAGGAAGGAAAGAAGGTTTTTGCGACGCGAAATACCTCATAGTCTTTATCACGCGAATAAATCCAGCAAACGCAGCTAGTTGAAACGCCAGGTCTGGGAGTCGAACCTAGGCCACAGAGATTGGGTGCAGCTGTTCTCTTCATTGCACCATCCCAGCTATAACGGTCGGGCTGCGGCGACTCCTTATGCCACTTAAAGGGTTCCTGTTATTCTGTACTAACGCTGGTGTTTCATTGGTTTGCAGGTTGATATGTATGGGCTTTTGGGCACAATACACTGTCTCTTATTTCTTGATTACATGAAAGTAAGCCAAGACAAAATGGGAAGGTGGAAAACCACAAAACCATTCAAAAGGTATGCTCACTATTATTTTATCTCTTACAGGCACTCACTGTCAAAGTTTAGATTACACGATCACTCCCTTTCATTCAAATGCTCCAGAAGGAGGAAATTTCTGTCTCCACCTTAAAAAACGTATGTGATAAAAATACACATTACGCCTTTTTAGATTTCAAAGCAGAAGTAACCCAAACGTTCGAAAACTGTCTTTGAATGTGTTAAAAATGCTATTATGGATCCGGTAATACGAACGTACGCAACTCTCTGCAGTTCACTTCACCATTCGTAATCTCAAGATACTTTTTGATGGTGGCGATAAAAATCCATGGTTTCAGATGCATGCTCTCCTTTAAAGAGAGAACTTTATCAAACTGCGTCTTTTCAAATTCAGTGTTTTGGTTAGTTAGCTCTGCGCCCTCATCTCGGCTTTTATTGCTCTTGTCCATCTAGCTCGCCTTTTAGTTCATATCGAGGTGTAATATTTCTAATAAACACCTCCCCTGTTACTCATTTTCCAGCTCTCTCTACAATGACCAGTTTTCCCGCTTTTTACCCTTATTGCTCATTTTCTTGCGCTTTCCACCAGTTCAGTTTCCCCGCCTTTAACCCTTATTACTGTCTTACGGGGTCTCTTCAAGTGCCACTTTCCCCGGTTTTATCCTATCATTTGAGAACATTCATTTCGTGGGGAATTCTTTTCCTGACGTGTGGTGGCCTCGTCTTTGTTCTGGTTATGAATTCTCTCTTTGAAAAATATCGCAGGTATTGGAATCCAATTTGGGGAAGGCTCTTCGACTCGCTGTTGAACATACCAAGCTGTGAGAAGCAACCATCTCTGAAAGATTTTCGTGAAGAATTTGAACAGTTTTACCTTGCGGATGAAGAAAATTACTCCAGACACAGACGAAGCCACGAGGTGTTCATGTTTTAGGCACACCTTCCTCTTGAAATCCGACTGGCTTCTGAATAAAAGGAAGAACTGTATCATACAGCTTTTTGCTATGTTCGTATTAATAACTATTGTTATTGGCATTATTATCATTATTATTATCATCATCATCATCATCATTAGTGGTATAAGTATTAGAATTAGTACTGATTTCATCATATTTTTTTAAGTTGTAATTCGTAAAACTTTCTGTGGACAAGTTACTCTTTCTGTTGTTTGTTTGTTTGTTTGTTTGTATGTTTTTTGTAAATATTCAGCGGATGCTTTGAGCAACAGTGAGTCGCGTTTTTCTGAAGCATCTCAGCGGGCCAGAGTATTAAACCCTCGGATCTGATTAGCCAATCGCGCATAAGTAACTAGTTCAGCTTTCTACCGTGTGGATCACGGTTCGGAATATTTTTCTGCGCCGTTCGCGGCAAAACAGGAAAAATCAAACCAATGAAAAAAGAAGTTATTTACTGGTCCAGGTCGGTCCACGTGGGGAAAAAACTGTGTCCGATGTCTTTTAAAAGTACGACCTCGATCGCACTCAAGACCTTGGGCACAGTTTTTACCCATATGGACCTCCAGCCCGGTTTGATAACTAATGCCTTCGAATCGAAGCGTCTCATGACTGATTGATGGTAACAGGAACAGACTCTCGCTTTCTCGATCACGCCGGTGTCATTTCTGCAGTCATAACAGAATACTCATCCTTGAATTTAAAAGGAGTTTTAAATAAAAGTCCTTCAAAATAAACAAATATTCTTAGAAGACAACCAATAGTAGTATGGCTCGTCTGACTAACCACCATGAAAGTGAGGCTGTAAGATATTTTTGGATGTCACGCAAGAAATAGTCACATTATGAAAAAATTCCTGTGTGCATGTGGTAAGTATTTTTAGGCGGGAACTGACTAACCAACATGAAAGCGAGGCTCTAAGAAATTTTTTGGGGGTATGTCACGCAAACAATAGTCACATGAAAAAAAGTCCTCTGTGCATGTGGTAAGTATTTTTAGGCGGGAACCGACTAACCACCATTAAAGTGAGGCTGTAAGATAGTTTTGGATGTTACGCAAACAATAGTCACACATGAAGAAAATAAAAGTCCCGTGTGCATGTGGTAGGTATTTTTAGGCGGGAACTGACTAACCGACATGAAAGCGAGGCTCTAAGAAATTTTTTTTTTGGGTATGTCACGCAAACAATAGTCATGAAGAAAAAAGGTCCTGTGTGCATGTGGTAGGTATTTCAAGGCGGGAACTGACTAACCGACATGAAAGCGAGGCTCTAATAAAATTTTTTGGGTATGTTACGCAAACAATAGTCACACATGAAAAAAAGGCCTGTGTGCATGTGGTAAGTATTTTTAGGCGGGAACTGACTAGTCGATTGAAAGCGAGGCTCCAAGAAATTTTTGAAAATGTCACGCAAAAATAGTGTCACACATGAAGAAAAAACGGGAAAACACGTTATAAGTCTGAAGTGCCTAACCATCACTCAAAATTTTTAATGGGTTCTTCCAAGACGTTTCAATGCAGTCATTTTCGTTAAACCACTGAATCTGTCTTGTTAATGATGTGGTGTCCAAAATGTAAACATGCAGTTGTATCTGTTTACACACGTGTTTAACTTTATTGAGAAATGAACTAAAGATCCGAGCGTATGGGCACGACTTCGAAGACGTCATCAGTGCTTATCTCAATTGGATGAATCCGATGAAAGATGTCACTAATTTGATCGGACAACTGAAAGCGTTGACAGTTGTCGAATATTCGCCCCGATGGTTACATATTCTCGAGAGAAACAGGAGATAAGCATATGACAAATAACTGTTTACATGTAAAGACATCCGTCAGTATCCGACACCTGTGGGCGCTTACATACAGCTGTATCTTTACACACGGGTTTAACTATATTGAGATGGGAAAAAAGATACATGCGTGTGGGCATGATTTTGAAGATGTCATCAGCGCTTATCTCAATTGGAAGAATCTGATGAAAGATGTCACTGATTTGATCGGACAGCTGGAAGCGTTGACAGTTGTCAAATATTCGCCCCGACATGATTTTTAATCCTATAATCCTGAGTTTTTGTCACACAATACCTTGTGTGACAGGCTTAAAACAATAGTTTTTCCTCCGGCGTGGCGATAATAGAACCCAAACAGAATTTGAGCGGGAAAGTTTTTTGTCCCTGTGTGGATAGAACCATCTCTGCGGGAGAGAGATGACAGCTGTCTGTTGAGGTAAACATGTCGACAGGAGATTATGTCAGATGAATTCTAAATAAGGGATATGACTCCGCCCATTCGTTTGCTATAACAGACTGTGTTATCAACCCCTGTTTTTCATTCACACAGATCTTAAGAAGAGAGGCAGAGCAGAAGAAGAAGAAGAAGAAAAGAAAATGGAAGACATAAAGAAGAAGAGTTCTAAGACAACGAGTTCAAGAGCTCATCCGTATAAGAGTAAGAAAGCAGCAGCGAAACAGGCAGCCAAAGACAAATTGAAAGGCACTATTTTTGTGGATGCGTTACCGCCCCAAGAAGATGAGAAGGTCGTGGTGACGAGTGAACATTTCAAGAAACCTGAGGAACCTGCCCCACCTCTGGAAGAAATGAAGTCGCTGATGAACAAAGTGGACAAGTCTAGTGGTGAGAAGAAGGAGTTGGTGGTGGTGGAAGAAGGAGAGGTCACCCCTGAAGGAACAGGTGATTATCCCTATGCGTCTTTGGACGAGTTGTTGTATAATGTGGAAGTCAGTTATCCATGTTCCATACACTGTACCCAGATAGAAGAATTGAAATCTAAGAAAGAAGATTCCCCTGACGTGTTTCTACGTTGCCAAGAAAGTCCTGCCCCACCTTTTGCGATGTGAAAGATTACAATTATTATTATTATTATGGATGCAGAGAACAGGGGCACAGCTGGTTCACTCTGGATACCATAAGTCGTATGGTGTGTGAATGTGGACTGACTCCCACATTGTCCATGTCCAAGTCAGACAAGGATTATGGAAAGATGTATTTGAGATGTCCTCAGAGGAATTGCGATTTGTTCCAATGGTGGCTTATTATTGTGACAGATGTCTGTTGGGGTAAACATGTGTTGGCGGGAAAATTTGATTATAAGAAGAGATGGGTTGCTGAGTGTTTTTATCGGTAAGGCCCAGGTCGCACTACTGCCCAAACCAAAAATTTTGCGTGACATCTTTAAAAATTTCTCAGAGCCTCGCTTTCAACCGACTAGTCAGTTCCCGCCTAAAAATACTTACCACGTGCACACAAGACTTTTTTTCCTCATGTGTGACTATTGTTTGCGTGACAAACAGAAAAAAAATTTCTTAAAGCCTCGCTTTCATGGCACTTAGTTAGTTCCCATCTAAAAATACTTACCACATGCAAACAGGACTTTTTTTTCTTCATATATGACTATTGTTTGCGTGACATACCAAAAAAATTGCTTAAAGCCTCGCTTTCATGGTGGTTATACTTAGTCAGACGAGCTATACTACTACCAATAATAACAGGTCGGTAGTGCGGGTGTAGAAGTGAGGTGTCTTAGTGGCAGCAAGAATTTGTGGTGTGATAATGTAGGCCAGAGAAGTGATGGAGCCCTCCTACCTGAGAAAATTTTCAAAATCTAATCACGATTTAATGCTATTGTTAACCTTCTCGAGTGAGTTTTTTTTCACCTTCGGGCGATTTTATACCAAGTTTTTTTTTTCAAATTAAAAAGCAGCACACACACACGAACACAGTTAAAATTGCTGTGTCGTATAAAACTACTCGAAACCACGCATATTGGTGCCAACGCGTTTGCCAGTTCTTACCCGGGCTCTCCGTCTCCCCTTACCTCTCTCTCTCTCTCTCTCTCTCTCTCCCCCCTCCCCCCTCCTCCCTCCCCATTCCTAACAGCATGATTCACACTCTAGCACTGTGGAGGGTCGATCGCGTTAGTAATAATTTAAGCGAAGTATGAATACCAGTCGGAAATCACTTTATGTGATCCTTCAGAGTACAGGTGGCGAGCCACCCGTTCTTGTTCACAAAAACCGCACAGGTCAACAAGCTGGGCGCAATTTTTAATCTCAACAATTGCAGGGAAATCCATCAATTGAAACGGGTCACTCCCCACGAATTCACCTACATTACCGTTGACAAGCAAGCTCATGAAATCTGTAAGTAGGCTGGAATTCATTCATTGCGCAAAATCTAATCGACTTCGAAATCGAAAATCGACTTTGCAGTGCCTTTGATTTCCTTTTCATAATATTTTAAAAGAAGTATTTGCCGGCTAAACTTTCAGAGTAAATAAATTTAAAAGGTACTTTTGATAACTTGGAAGATATTATCAAATGCAATACATCTTGTAAGCTCAACACATACGTGCACATCTTGAGATTTAAAATTCTCGTCGTTTGCCACTCGAAGAAGGGAAGGAATTAGAAAGGATGTCAGAAGCATAAACATTGATATAAGCACTGTCAGTTTGTGTCATCCTCCAAGAATCTCAAAACATTTACGCGGATGTTTTTTGCGAAAGTTCAAGATGAGGAGATATTTCTGCGCTTCCTTTAGGCAGGTTTAGGGGTCGGTCTGAGAAAGCTTCGGTACTGTCAGGATTCAGCTTGAAAACATGTTTCTTGGAAGTATTGCATTACTTCTATGGCAGAATTTGTTTCTGGTGCAGGTGGTTTAGTTTTATGACTTCATAAATTATATTGTATCTTGGTGATTAACGCGGAAACGTTTCCTAAAAATGCGACGTTGAGCTCATACTCAACATCGTCTGTTCTTTATAGAGAAACGTACTTACTTTCTCTATTTTAATCTATCTAACATCTCAGCAGGGGGCTCGTCATCTCAAGCACGTTCGAACAGGCCTAAATTAAGCTCAAATTAATAGGTTAGCAGGTCGCTGTTCCTTGTGATAATTTACAACAAGGTTTCCTCAGGGGTTCACCACTATTGCGGGATCTTCATTTTAGTTCGTTTTAGTTTCATGTTTATTGGTATGTTTATTCGTTGGTTCGCTCGTTAGTTTGCGAAGGGAATGGTCTATCAAAGTAATTAGAGAAGGGTTTCAATGAGGTGATGGCTTTTACGGCTAAAGGTTAAAATTTTGGCCAATTTACAGCTAAAGGTTAATTTCTTTTCTTTGTGATTAGAAGAATAAATTGTTAAGGTTAACCCTTTTTACTACAAACGGTTAAAGTTTTTCAATTTCTTTGCCTAGCGGCTAATTTTTTTGCTGTTTTACGGCTAACGGCTAATCCCATTGAGATTCTCTTTGCGCGATTTTCAATTGAGTATCAAAAATGATCCTGGAGTGTTTTGGTTTGGCTTTACTTCGCTCTATGATTGGTCCAGAAAACTCGCGTCATTATCTCAACCAATCAAATCCAAAACAGTGACCAATCACAACTTGGTCACTCGCGTTTTCCCGCGCTTCAAGCAGGTTGCCTTTGTTTACTTTGAGTTCTCATCGGTTAATGATGATGTCTACGTGTGTTGTGATTGGTTGTTGAGATTAGTTTGGTTTCGATTTTTCGACACTCAATCGAAAACTGTTCTAAGTTCTGAATAATTCTGATTGAAGTAGCTCGTATCAATTTTCCTAAAACAACGGCGCCAAAAAGATAGTGAAACAAAACGCCAGGAGGCGCTAACGTGGGGTTTGTTAGTCTTACCTTCATTCCCCCCAGTTATACGTGAAAATAATAAATTTCATATTCACTCAGTACCAGCCTTTTAAGCCGCCCTTCTTTTGGCCACGGTCACGTAAGCTTTTCTCATAACAAGTGAGAGGAGGTTAAACCAGTTTACGATTGTGTAAGATGTGCCTTACTCTAGAGCAAGAATTATGGATGATCAGCTACCTGCACTGTTCCGTGATTCCAGCGCAAAATCCACTTATCAAAGTATAGGAGTGAAATCGAAAACACAAGAAAAAAAGACCACAAAACCAGATATTGTACGCTGTCACCCATTCATTTAGTGACCTCTACCAACAGTGCTTCACTTTAGTTAGGAGCGCAAGCACGTGGCTGATTACCATAGGAGACTTCGACGACGACGAAACTCAACCGAATTTTTGCCGTGGTCTGCCTGTGGCATCTCACGTAATTAGGCCGGAAATATTGATTAATTATGAATTCAGCTGAAAATAGCTCTAAGACCTAGACATAAATTTCCATTTTCTTATTCATACTGTCTGCCTTTTCTTTTGCTATTTAGAGAGGCATTTGACGGGACTGATTCTGGATCACCCTTGACACTCTTTGCATGGCAAAACCTCGAAGAGTCCCTGGAATTTTGGGCCTCATTGCCTTAGGTATCACAGCATGCATCGCCATAAGGGCCCTTTGTAAGTATTCTGGCCTGGTTGCTTTTCAACCCCCAACAGAAACTAGAAAGGGAAAGACAAACATTTTGATTATTTCAAATGCAAGATCAGGATCATCGTATCTTGGGCAAATTTTCAATCATCACCCGCAGGTCTTTTATATCTATGAACCTTTGATAACATTTCAAGTGACATCGGTGCGTAACTCTTCACTCTACGAACAGACGGCACTGGGCCTCCTACGCGACATTTTCAACTGCAGATTTAAGCAGCAAACAGAGTTTTTATCTTTCATGTCGCATATGCAGCTCAATCGCTTTTCAAGCCACGCCTTTACCTCGCCCTATTGTAAAAACATAACCAACGCGAAGGATAATCGAACTACTATTTATTGCAAAGACTTGGATCCCCTCATAACTTCTTTGTCCTGCTCGCTTCACAGCCACACAGTGGTGAAAGTTCTCGCTCATAGATTGCCATTTCTAGACGTTGATCGTCTTCAACGTTTATTGGCTCGCGATCGAGATAATTTAAAAATCATTCACCTAATGCGAGATCCAAGAGCTGTCATCGCTTCTATGGATCGTGTCGGCTGGGGTTTGGAAACTTCAGCAGTGAAAATGGCTACGACAAACTTTTCTCATTTTACCAATCTTGTGCAAAAGTTCTGTTCTAATTCGATAAGAACGCTGCGATTGGCTCTGCTGGCTGAGAGTAAATTCCCAGATCGCTATAAACTTGTCAGATACGAGGATCTAGTAAAATTACCATTAAATGTCTCTCAAGGACTATTTGATTTTACCGGCATTCCAATGTCGGATCAAGTCATGAACTATCTAAACAGTGGTACACAATCACGTGAAAGTGGGGCCAATCACGCGTATGGAACACTTAGGAAAAATGCGTCTCTGTTGATAGACGCTTGGAGAAATCAATTCAGTATTGAAGCCGTACGAATGGTGGAGTCACAATGCTGGCCAGTTTTGGAAATACTTCGGTACACACCTATCCATAGCCCGGTTCTGCTAGGCACGTGACAGGCACGTGCAAAAAGTCGACTACGCACGCGATCTTGGTTACAAATCCAAAGGGAGAACACAATAGGCAAATAACTCGTCCTACCCCTCCCCCTTCAATTGCCTCTGCAGTCGTTTTTTCATCTTTTGGCCTAGGCGTTTAGGGTTAACAGTGACCGGGAAAGTAGATTGTGACAGGTTTCCTGACAGTGAAGGCAAAAACAAAAAGCGGGTGTGCATGAAATGATGGGAAGGTCTCATGTCCTCATCATTTCCCATGACAACTTCCAAGCATTATTTGCTCATCATCTGTTTCCCTCATCCCCACTGGCTGAGAGTCTGGAACAGGCTACCAGTGACAGAGATGTGAATTTCCCAGAAAGTAATTTTGCTTTGAAAATACCACAGAAAACAAGAAATATCAGACACTGGAAGGGCAACATTTGTGGCAAAGAAAGACAAAATGCCTTAAATAAAAAAGAATGCCTTAAGCCAAAAAGAATCAGTTTCAAACGTTAGTACAATATTATTTCAAACAAGGTTACCAAGTCTCAGGTCATACTATGGTTTCAAGACAACATTTAATACCAGATGATGAAAGAACAAATGAATTTTTACAACAAAGTGCATAAATCAACAGTCACTGGATGTAGTTGGTTACATGAACTCTACCTGGCCAATTAGGGAACAACTAATTCACCAACACCATTAGCACTTGATGTCTAGCTTGGCTTCTTTTGTTCTTTGACCATCATGATCTAAAAATAAACAAACAAGAATTAAAGCTATTACAACAGTTCTAAAAAGTCATGAATGCAGATCTCACTGTACAGCAAGTTTGCCATGGGAGGGGAGGAAAGGGGGGGAATTGAGAAAGGATTAACCCTTCAACCTCTGAAGGTAACTTGCATCTAATTTCTCCCAAAGGTATCACTGCTAAATCAAACATTACGCTCATGAGAATTAAAGAAATGATCAAAAACTTAAACAGCTCATGATTTTAAGTTCAATACTCCTTGTCAGTGACATAAACCAATTGCAGAGTTGCTTGTTTTCCTGTGAAGTTCACTAGCATAGAAATTCCAGTTACAGGACATTACAGGGCAGAAGCCTGTGGCAACAGATTTTAAGTTTTCCTTTCACTACATATCTGTATATCAGACTCTAAATATTTTTATGGAACTTACTATGGTCTTCTCTTTCTCGCTTCAATTCAACACTTCTTCTTTCAACATCAGCAAATGCAACAGATTCTGGTAACTTGAATGACACACAAACCATAGCCTTTTTCGGTGCAACATCACGTACACAGTGAACGCTGTATTCACTCTTAAGGCTAATTCCCAAATTCTTTTCCACTTGCTGCTTGGCATCATCTCCTGGAGACTGGGACTTAGAGAAGCAATAACAATGAATCATTGGGAGCACTAATTGTTTGTGCGAAGTGTAGAGACCATGGAAAACATCAAGAAACTCAACTGCACTAGCAGGTAGATTCATGACAACATGTGTAAAGGGTCTGCTGTAACTTCCTTGAATGCTTTGATCAGTAATTGACGATTCTAATAATGATGATGATGAAGACAGCTGAACCATTTTTCTCACAAAGTCCCTCCCATCCAAATTAAAAGCATGAATTTTATCCTTCACATGATTGATTTTTGCATTTTTTAATAAAGCCTCATAGGATGCAGGATTCAAGTCATTGGCATAAATAATGCATCCTTTCTTTGCCGCAGGAATAGCAAATGGACCAACTCCTGCAAACATGTCACACACAACATCACCTGAATCAAATGATTCAACAAGACGCCTGTGCTCTGTTTGAAGACGAGAATTCCAATAAACTTTGGAAAAGTCAAACTCAAAAATACAGCCATCTTGTTTCACAGAGGTGTAGAAGTTGCTCTCTCCAGCTAACACCTCCATCTTGAAGAAGCGGAAAGTATCATGGATGGTGTTTGTTTTGTTCACAATAGTTTTGATCTGAGGGGAATTCTTGTCTAATATCACTTGCCCTGTCAAAAATAAAGAGAAAACCAATATGAACTATCAATTAAAAGATGCAGAGCTCTCAAGTTTCACACATTGAGCACGAGATTCACACTAATGAAATCAATCTTACACTTTAATGCTGAAGCTACTCTTTCTCAAACATTTCAGGTTTTCCGATTAAACTGTTGAGTTTGAGATGGCAAACTACTATTTAGCTAACCCTTTAACCCTTTAAATCTCAGAAGTGATTAACATGTAACTTCTCCCTTAAGTATCCATAAATTATTCAGCAAACAGGTAATGAGAATACTCAAACTTATCAGGTACAAGATATTATCTTGATCAAACACCAAAAAGAATTGGTATTAGATCAATATAACTTCTACCTGATAAGTTTGAGTGTTCTCATTACCTGTTTATTAGATAGTGTATGGATAATTTATGGAGAAGTTACACCTTTATCACTTCTGGGAGTCAAAGGGTTAAGTACCACTAAAATTAATTTACCTACTAAATATAATTTAATCTTTGCTCCCTTTGCACTTGCACCCAACACTTTCCAACAATAGCAATTTTCACTCAGAATAAAGGACTGTAATACTTCAATATGAACACAAAGATACTTCATTTTTTTCACAATTCTCTGGGCAGCATACCCCATAATCCTCCCCCCTCGCAAAGGAAGGGCATGCTGTAGTACCACAATCAAAGGCTGAGCGGTCGAAAATCTCACTAATGCCAGCAAATAAATTTTCATATGTCAGGTTGGAATGGGTGATAGGGGTGATTACTTGGTTAGTTCTGTGAAAATTCATATGGGAAGATTGCAAGGTCTATGAATACCTACCACAAGCTCGACATTCATGGAGAGATGCATCATTCGTAAAATCCCTCTCCTCCAAAAAAAATGCATACATGAAGAAAAAAAAAGATGATTATCACCTACCGATTAGTGATTTGAACTCTAATTGCGAATCTCGTAAATTCAAGTGTGCTATGTGACCGATTGTCTCGAAGGATGAAGGTATTTCATCAATCTCATCCGGTAATATGGCTCTTAAAACTTGCTCTGATGTCCAATGTTCGTAGCCAAGTACCAAATCATAAGTCGTTTCTTCTGCTCCCTGATTTTGAGCGAATTCTCGATCCTCTTCTCCCAAGGTTTTCAACGAATTCATTGGATGTAGAAGGAGAATCTTTCTACTTGTTTCACTCATATCTGGGACAATGTTTCTCATACGAGGTTGGTTCAAAAGGCATTTGTTTAGACGTTTTAAAAAAAGTGAACACTTTTTGGCTCCGATTCGAAGAGCTGGAAGGGTGATGGTAGTTCTCAAAGCCTCTCTGTCCAAGATCTTCATTCCTTTCACAGTACTTGGAGGACTAAAATATCTTGATAATTTCTCCATGATCGCTTTATTGAGAGAGAAATTTGACGGAGTTTTCAGCGGTTTCTCTTTATCCTGGAGTACGGTCATGTAAGAACATCTCACAACTTTGTCATCTTACTTTTGAGGCGGAAATGAAGGAACGCTAAAATGCCCTGAATTATTTTTCCTTTGCTATGGCGGCCGATGTCCTGCAACGTATCCATCCCGAAATTGCAAAATTTGCCGAAGCCGTGCTTCATAATGAAGGTATTGGAGTTTGCGGTGAACTGCTGAAGATTGTGGAGCCCAAGTCAAGGTACTCGATTAGATTTTCAATTTACGTCAAGCAACATTTTGACGAATTTCACCCATGAAATTCAGGGTTAGTCATGGTTCTTATTGGTCAACTTCGTAGCAGTGTTTTTATGGAGTATTTTCAATCCCAATCTAAAGCTGTAATTGTTATTCGACTTCATCATTTTTTCTGTCTTGTTTGTGTTCGATAGTTTGTCTTTCATTAACCCTCGTATTAAAACAAGATCCTGCGATCGATTCAAGGTTTTGGTTCCATATGCTGGTAGAACTCTAAAATGTAAGTAAACACCAACATCGGTGTGTACTGTTTTAATCATTTTGAGACATTGTTTTTTCCATGTTTTCATCATTTAATCGCTTTTTTATTTCCAAGGATTTGAATACATTTTGATTAAATGTGTCATAAACTCAGTGTATGAGTTGCCTTTCGATTTGATTTATTTATATTTACCGGGGTTTTTTTTTATTGTTGTTGTTTATTTTTTGCAGGGGAGGTAATATTTAACCAGATGCAACCAGATTTTCCACCAGATTTTATATTTGGACCACAAGATCAGGAATTTGTACCAAATATTGATAAAATGGAGGTATGGGCAAGGTGAAAAACCAGAAATTCTCAAATTGGCACTTCTCATCAAATAAGCAATTTTTACGTCCAACTGGGAGATGCAGCTGCCCAATGGTTGAGTGGCTGGACTTGGGGTCAAAAAGTCTGGGTGCCAGACCTGGCTGAGTCAAAGTGTTGTGTTCTTGGGAAAAACACTTTTTTCTTACAGTGCTTCCCTCCACCCAGAAGTATAAATGGGTACTGGCAATATGTCAAGGTTGCCTGATGAAGTGCTTGGGGGGTAATCGTGGGATGGACTGGCACCCTATTGGGGGTGGGGGAGGGGGGGGTAGTAAGACTGCTAGTTGCTTTATGCCAAGGAAACCCAGATAAAGTCTGGCCAACATGGCTTGAGTACAGACTTTGATAGCCATACTAAATTATGTCTCTTATTAAAATGACAAATGCTACTTTCATTTGCCAACTGCAATTTCTGAGGATGCATGATGTTTTAATCTGGCTTCCAAGGTGAAGGTGGTACCATTGATAAGGCAAGGCTGGAGTTTTCATTTTGAAACCATGGTTATCAAGATCTCAGTCATAATGCCTGAGTCAGGTCTTGGTAATGGGGCTAGCTTGCCTTCTCAATGGTTTCTGAAGACTGGCAAGGCAAGAAATTGGAAATCAAGACAGACTGGTTGACCTTGTTACTACTCTCTAAAAGTATGCTTTTTTTAATCATATTTACTCCATAGTCTCTTGAGAACTGGGACTGTAATAATCCTGAAAGCTTAGTAAATCTGATAAAAGAACTGGTCAGGGAATACAAAGAACATCAAAGAGAACAAGTGGAGAAAATCCCCAGAATCCACTTTGAATACACCACACTTGCAGCTGACACCAATTATCCTGAATTCGAAGTACATGTTTTAAAAGGGCAACAGGTGAGGTGAAGATTTGTGTATGCAAGCTACAGAAAGTCACACCCTTGAACAAGAGCTCCCTAGCAACAAGAAGTGGAATGGGTCACAAACTATACAGATTAATTTTGATAACAGGTTAAAATGGTAATTGACTAAAATCACATTTGAAAATGATCATGATAATACTTGTTAAAATGCAACTGGGTTCTGATGATTCGTTTCTTTTCTCAGAAGACAGACTCTGTTGTCAATTTTATGATAAAGCTGCCAGTTGATCTCACTGGAATCCCGCAATTTATTATAAGGGTAAGATTGTTGTGTTTTATTTTTGATTCCTGAGAAACAGAGCTGAAAAACAACTATTAGACTAAGTACTGGTGTGATATCTTTAATAATTTTGCTTATGTCACAAAAATTTAAATTTACCATTAATAACTTATGATATGAAAAATGTTTTTCTGATCATTGTGATGATCCATATTTAATTCTTTGTTTGTCAGGGCTGTCCAGGTGAAGACATGGCATGCTTGTTTGTTTCTTATGCATCTCTTAATGGAGAGAATGTTACACCAACACTTTTGTTATCACCCCGTGTAGAAAGGTGAGGTCTTTGCGCAGAAATGGCCACTAAATATGAAAGATATAACAAACTTTAATATACATCTTCATTAATTACTTGGAATACATATGTGTAAAAGGTTCAGCCTGCTGTAGTCATATATTTAGTAAATCTAAAGGCAAGTTTTTAAAAGTAAATTCACTCCATGGAATCGTCAGCATAGTAAAATCATCAGTTTTATGTGTAATACTTTTCATAACAGATGAAATTTGTATTTTTTTTTGGATATTATACTTTTACAGTCAATCCATTCAAACTCATACTTATATTACAGAGCATTTGGTGGGACCAGCAATCTTCGTATTCCTCATTGGTTGGGGGTGAATGGCTGCCTTCTGGAATACCTACCTCTTATCCAGGAACTCTTTGCACAAAAGGTGAGGTTGAAAGTGGTATCAAAAGTTACCTCTCAGGGCTCTAAGCTCAGACTTTCTCAAGGTCACAGTGTTATGGCCTTAACCCTTTACTCCTTAACATCAGTATGGATATTCTCCATAACACTCCTTACATTTCTTAGGGTTCTGACAAGGAGAATTTGTTCATCAATCAAGAGCTTCTTTAGTTGGTGATCATCTCCTTTATTCTCATGACTTAAATGTTTGATTCAGGGGAGATGTTGTGAGGAGAAATTAGATGTTAGTCACTCTAAGGGGTTAAATTATAAACAATAAAAAAAAACAAAATGCAATCAAAAAAGTGGAAGTCAATGCAATATTTTGTGACATGCTATATACCCTTGTAAGTCTGAGTTGAGCTGACAGAATAATGAGCAAAGGAAAAACTTAAACTGTGAAAACCTCAAAGTTAGCCAAGAATTTTTCTCACCTATTATTAATATTTGCATCACTCAGGAGGATGAGTTTACTTTTTAATCGCTTGACTGGTCTCTGAGGTTACTGTTAACCCCTAAGAGGGATTGATATTTAATCTCTCCTCACAATATAACCCCTGAATCTAACATCAAGGTCACGAGAATTTAGGAGATGATCACCAACTTAAGACGCTCCTGATGTTTAAACAAATTCTTCTCATAGGCAACTTAGGAACTGTATAGAGAACAGTAAGGAGAATATGCATACTGATGCTAGGGTGTTATTTTGAAAGGTGGAGCAAGTTTGTCAGGCATTCCACAGAAGAAGGGAATATGTTGCCGCTTTCCTTAGTGCATTTGGAAGGTGAGGCATAGTTTACAATTCAGTAAAATAATTTGGCTACTGCAGCTTACTTTTGAATAAGTCTTGTAAATAAGATATGACTTTTGAGTGTATATATCATAAATAACCATGCCTGTGTTTTCGAGTCTGGCCAGAGGTCAAAAGCAGAGGGTCACCCTCGAGACCAGGGGAACAATTTTTCTTCTAGATGGACTAATCTACTCTATTCTTATTCGATTTTTCTGTTGGTTTGCTTTTTTCCCACATTGCTGCAAATGGTACAAGCAAATTCTGGATCATGGTCTGTGGTGCAGAAAGCCAGCATATTAAATATTTATAGTTTATTGTATTTTTTTTCTTTTTTAATTTGTAGTTCAGTGCTTGAGTATGATGCTGAGGGATTCATGAAGCTCTCCTTGCTGTTCAAAGTACAGGGATTCTTTTGTATTGTTCACAGTAAGTGTAGTTTCTGGTACAAGTTTGAAGTAAAAAAAAAACAACACATCTTACATTTTGACACAAGGAAGTGAGACATACTGAACAGAAATCAGTCCGACACTTACAATGGACATTGGCCAAAGGGTGCGTTTTGATTGAGAGATGTATTAAATGAGTGAGGATTAACTATTATCACCACCCGCTTCATTTGTCTTTTCAGTTGAATTAGACAAGAACTTTCCCCAAGAAGCGCCATTATTTTACCTCCAGTCGATTTACCACGAAAAAAATAACCAGCCGTACGAAAAACTAGAAGCGGGTTATCCCTACAGTCCGCGGTGGTCTGGGGACGAGATGGCGGAAAGAGCTAGGTATTCTCATCTCCTTTACTGTCATGCAATTGAAATGAACAGACAGTGTGATATGTCCAGAAAGGACTGAGGCCTCATTCACGGAGAAAGAAAATACTCGACGAATAATAGAACGGATCTCAGCTTTAAACCAACCTATTTTGTTTTGTTTCCTGATATTTTCCATGCCTTACTTTTAAACCAATAATATCACGATTTTAAATGTTAATATGGTTAAGATTGAAAAAGTTAAAGTAAGCGAAAAAAAACAGCTCCTCGCGGCGGCAATCTACCAAAGCTTTCAAGAAACGGGCCACTGGTCTCTTAGGAACAATGTGACTGGTATTTCATGAATTGCCTAGGGACGGGTCATTAATAGGAGTACATTATAGACTTGTTACTTAAGTGTTAGGTGTTTCGATGGAGAATGAATATCGAAGCCGACTATGGTGTCCGACTGAGTTAAATTCACGACACGAATGAGATTATTGTAAGATCTTACCCTCCTTGGGGAACCTTTCTAAAGTACATTTTTTTTCTTTTTCAGAGCTTTCCTGTTGGAAAAGATACCAGCTTTTAAGGACGCTTCATTAAGTAACGCCAAATTTTAACCTTGACACAATACGAAAGTCAAGGCATTTTTGTGGAGCGATCGTTCTAAGATTCTGGCCACTATGGCGAGATGTTGCTGGGTCAGGATTTATGAAGAAACTCTCCTCAGTCACTGAACGAACTCATGAAGTGGCTCATACAAAGCTTTAGATAGTAATCGTAGATCAGATCACTCTCGACGGGCTTGATGGTTGTTGGAGCGGAATAAAAAGAAGTGTGCAAGCATGCCCTCATTATAAGCGCTCCAGAAAGTGCGTTTCTCCGCCCGCCGGGAAGATTTGAGACGAGTTGGAAAGGGTTTTCCGGGGGTCTGGCACAAATAATTAGTGCCAGACCCCTTACAGACCTCTCACCGGCGCGCGTTGCTCATGGGCTTTAAGTGCTTATATTTCCGAGCGGCCGAAGAAATGCACGTGCCGAAACGCTTGTAACGAGGGCCAGGTCACGAGATGATTTATATAGGGGACTTCAAATAAGATTCTCTTTTGACATTTTCTCCCTAAACAGAGACGCATGTAGTAAGTCTCGCTTTGTTTAAATTTTTATATCGCTTTGTTTGGTTCTTTTTTGTTTGTTTGTTGTGTTTGTTTGTCTGTGCGTTTGTTTTGTTTGTAAAGAGATGAACTAAATTGAAATACATGCAAACGCTTAATTGGCCATAAACCACGATTAATTTTCCCTTTGGTCACATTGCTCACTTTCTCAAAAAAGACCAACATATGCTGCCATGCAGTATCATTATTTCTCATGTCATTCCGTACTTTCTGAGAATATAAACGGCTTGCTTCTAATCATAAACATCGAAGAAGAACGAGTAAAGAATTAAAGATGCCCTCACCAACATAAACAAGTTTATTTCTCCCGCGTTTCCCCTTCCCCTCAAAAACAGATCAGTTTAGTTTTCTGACGTCTCCTCTTCCCTGAAAAACTGATGAGTTTAGTTTTCACACGTTTCCCCTCTCCTCAAAAACTGAGATTAGTTTCTCGCGTCCCCCTTCCCCTGAAAAACTGATGAGTTTAGCTTTCACACGTTTCCCCTTCGATTGGTTGTTACTTTCGCGCGAAAATTCAACTTCAAGAGACACTTGACTTAGCTATAGGCACTCACATTAACGTGATCAGTGGCTGATTTTTGTTTTTTGGTTTTTTCGGTTTCATATCACGTTTGTCTGAGTAGTAACGCCCTCTGACTGAAAATCCAAAGGTATTCATGCAAATCCAAGTCACGTGTCAATTCAAGAATTTGCTGTGGTTGGAAATTTTCCTTCTTAACTGCACAAGTGGATTTCCCCAACTCCTCAGCATGGCATTAATTAACGTATATTCCTGGCCAATGAACAGTAACGAACATACTTTTAATGTCAGCCTTTATTCCTACTTCAAACTTAATTAACAATAAGAAAATCTGAATAAAATCTAGTTGAAATAAATGATTTTACTATCATTCCGTTGAACCCAATGAATACTCCAAATCTGCGAGACTAATCGAATCGCGTCTAATAATTTAATAAATTCAAACACTAATAAATACTTCTATCAAAAATATGTTCCACTATTTTGATTTAATCAATCGCCTAATAAAAATATGAGAACAATTTCATTCCCATGGAACAGACTAGTACTATTGCAAGAAAACTGTCCATCAAAATTTTTGAAGAAAATAGAAAAACCCATAAAACCTCTGTCATTTTTCGCTACGTGATTATCTCTGAACAACAAAACGTCTAAGCTTGAATGAACCAAAGCCCAATAAGTAACGCTACCGGCAGGTAATTTCCATCAATTCGACTTTATCTTTCTTCTGTCAATTTGATCTAATACCTGAACTGACGTCAATTACGATTAACAGAAAGAAATATGACATGAAAAGCCTTCTGTTTCGTCTTAAGATATGAGAACTTGTTGGTCTATTGGTTAATGTACTAAGAGGAGCCACACCTTGGAATAAAAAATTTGCCTCTGCTTCGACCTCCGGTGGAAAAGAAAACTATGATTTAAAGTTTCATTCATATCTACGCTGTTCTCAGCTTCGCTTTTACTAGAAAGCGAAACGTTATCAAACACTCAAAGTTCTTCGACTATTCGACAAAGCTTTATCCTAATATTTGCATCTCCATTCATTATTCCTGTTTTTTATGCATGCAGTAACATGTAGAAAGAAAAGTCGACGTACAACGCCTCGTCAGTCTTTTTTTATTCCATGTCAGGATCTGTTAAAAGCGCAGAGGTCTATACCTCACTTGTCGTCGACCCTTTGTTGTCGGACGGGCGATCTGTCAATTAAACAAACGATATGTTATTCATTCCTATACAGACGAAATAAAAAAATGTGATTCATTGGATTTGTCTGAGCCTTTACCCTCCCAAGATCTGATTGTTAATTCTCACCTCTAACTGCTACATATTTCCTTGTAAATTACTTACGAGAATTTAGAGTTAGATCAAGATAACAACTTCTACTAGAAAGGTTTGAGTATTCTCATTACCTGTTTGCAAGATAAGATATGAATAGTAAAGGGAGAAGTTACATATTCATCACTTCTGGGAGTTAAAAGGTTAAGATGTAAGTCAAAAGATTATTTTTTCCTAAGTTTATTTTTTTTAACACTGGCACGTTATTTTACATTACAGATATAAATTTAAAAAATGAAATAATAAAGGGTCGTAACACGATGAAGCTGATGTTTTCAAGGTGTCTGATTAACCAATGGAAGCAAGTCAACTGTGTGTTGAGAAGCTAAATACTTGCAAAATATCTCATTTGCAATTAGATGGCGTGGCAGAACTCATTTCAGACGAAATCGAATGTCGTTTGTAGTACTATGTAGCCTCTTTCGACTTCGGATCGAGCCAAAGACACTGATTTGTTAAAACACTTGTAGAATCTTTCAGATTTCTTTTTTAAGTTATGCAAATTATGGCAATTGATATTTAAACATCACCGGAATAACTCGATTTTATTCCAAAAGGAAAGAAAAATAATATAATTAGGAAAATGAAGCAACATGCAGCCGTTTCGAAAATGGGTATTTCAGTATTATCAGTTGAGTTAATAACGTAAGTTGACCACGGTAAAGAGTTTCAAAGCAGACTTTTCGAACGTTCGCCCTCGTCTGGGCAAACGATATTCGCTCTAACGAAGGGCTAACGCTCGAAACGTCAGCTTTAAAACTTTCTACGGTGGCCAATTTACGTTATCAACTCAGTTGATAATACTTAATTACCCTGTTACACTCTCCGAACGACGCAACACCAAAGTTTCTTAAGAAACTTACCCCTTTACCCGTTTCAAAAGTGGCCTGTTTATACTCAAGACAGCGCTATACTTTAGAGTCCAACTCGAGGTAGGTGGGGAGAAGGGGAGAGCGGAGAGGGGAGAGGGGAAGAGGGGAAGAGGGG